GATGCTACTACTCGACCTCTTTTTTGCGGGCATGGAAACAACAGTAACAACACTGAAATGGGGATTCCTGCTTTCGATTGTGCATCCCGAAGTACAGGATAAAGTGCAACAAGAACTGGATCAGATTGGGACAAAAATAACACTGGCTGACAAGGCGAACTGCCCCTTCACAATGGCCACTATTCATGTAAGTTTTTCCATTCTTCATCAGCATAGTTCAGCACTGCTCCAATATTAAATAAGGTTTTTGCGTTGTAACTAAGTCCTCATTCTGCTTTTATTTTCCTCTTCTACTCATTGTGTTACAAATAATATGGCATAATCGGCAAATAGACATTACAAGAACGTAGACACTGCCGTGGTCATTGGAAGAAAAACACAATTGTTTAACTTGCTACATACATTACCAGAAATTATAGTGTATGTGCACCATTAACAAAATGAAAAATTTTGATATTCAGGCAGAATTCGGTGATGTGCGTTCCACTTTGACGCATTATTTTCAGCTGTAAACCCAATCCCACTCCACCCCAACCTTGGCTGCATTTCATGTTATCGCACCAATGTGCTTCTGTTTGGTCATTGGCTTTTGAGTTCAGTTCAACACTTTTCGAGACGCTCTGCAACCACGCGCGGCTTCTCCCGCTTGAATTTGGCGTCTCTTCGGCTGAGTTACCCCTTTCGTTTCCTTTTGTTCACTCCTTTCACTGTGCTTCTTTCATCCTTTCGCTTTGGAACAATAAATAATCGCTCGCAGTCGAGTCTCATCGTAACACTGACGATGTTAGCTGCGCTCCTTTTCGCTACTCTGAAATGGCCTTACTGATTTATGGTCACCCAAGTTTTCATTTCGCAACAGCTATTGCGGCTCTTCATTTTGAAAATCGATGGGTTACTTTTGTAGTGCTCGCTTTCCTGTACTCCATTGTGTTTTTTGTGCGCGGATATCGAAATAGCAGTATGTGGACCTCAGTAAACTAGAGTGCAAAGAATTTATAGCTTACCTAGTTAATATAGTCAATTTTACAGTTAATGTTAAAGGTGCTTACCTTGCTTTAATTAGCCGACATGGGACTGGCAGCCTTCCCTTGTTTGCCGTGGGCGAAATTGAATCTGCCGATGTTAACCAACTGATATTCATTCCCATGATTTATGCTGAATGCCTCATTTTTGATTCGGTCATTTTTGCCGCGGTACTCCTTAGCGATCACTGTCATTAGCGAAATTGTGCTAGAATTCCATCATATAAAAGAAGTTTCTGAGGCACTCTGCTTCGAATGCAAAAATACATTGGTCGAAATCGCATAACGAAGCACTACGCGTTCTTAGTATTCAAACTCCGACAGATACTCCAAAAGTTGGAGGAAATCAAAATAAGTAGTCGAAGCAGTTGTGT